TCTCACGCCTGTCACTGGCTATGAAATGAATAACTTTTTCACAGATGCGATGAACCAGTCACCGTGACCATCAATGTGAAGGTCAGTAAAGAAAATATCGATTGGACCCATGTCTTCGCTTCCGGTGACAAGCTTGCTGTCCCAGGGCTGAGAAAATCAAAGACCTCCCAAGAAGACTTGGACATCATGGTTTTCATAGAACCAAAAAACGACACGTTAACTTTGAAGGTTTACAAATAAACCCTTTATTAGCTAACATTAACATTTATTTTCTCCGCACTGTTCCCTTCACATTTCCAATAGTAATGACAAGGAGACTTGTTTTGAAAAGGGCTTTTAAATTAGTCTTTTTTTTTAACTTATTCTCATAACCCTTACACTGCTTCAAGGAAGATTCTGTTAGGACAAACTAGACTAGAAGCCAGTCACTCTTAAGAGTTAAAAGATTAAACGATTTTGTGAGAGATGACAAAAAGAGTGCAACATTCAAGGCAAATTCTATTACAAATATTCGTGGTTTTTTAAAGATCGAATAAGTTTAAAGCACCAAATTTTTAAGTTCAAGATGTTGGAGTGGAACTGTGTGAGTGCCTTAGTTCTTTAAGAACTAAGAACTCTTAAGCTACTAAGATCGGATTTTCAACATCAATGATTTTTAAACATTTTGTCATGTTTAGGTGACACTAATAGGAAAAAGGACGACAGATCGGATCGATCAAAAGCTGCCATTTTCCACAGATCACTGCGGTAAGTTTTCGTTTAATCGTAGATTAATTTGCAGTTTTATGTGTGATAAACACAATATGTTTTAACACATTTTTTTGGAATAAAGGGAGAGGAAGGCAGACGCCTAAAAAGAGTCTTAACTTTCTTTTGCATTTTCAGGAGAGTAGAGACAAATGCGAGTCTTAATCCTTAAGAAATAATTTATCGCTTTCTTTCGTTAACCTGCAAACAAAACAAGAAACACAACAACAACAACAATAATCACAAAAACGCGTATGCTGTACCAGATTAGAGACCTTTTTCTTTAAATCAAACGTAGTGGCTCGTTGAGACATCACAAGCTTACCAAGTTGCTAACCTGTGTCATTTTTGTTCCCTAACAGGTTTTGTTCGCTGGTGGGAGAGCCGTGACAACGCTGGACGCATCGCGCTGCTCGTGGCGTCTGCATTTGTGGTCTTGTCAATCGTTTCTTGTTGTTTCTGTTGCGGATGTTGTTGTTGCTGCCGTTGTTGCCGCAAGAAGAACGCTGGAATTGTTTGATCCTTCCCCCTTCCCCTCCCCCCCAGTCAGAGATGGTAAGGATGTAACAAAACCCCCCTGAACCCCCACAGTGACTAAGGCATAATTTCTCTTTACAATATTACTACAATGTCAAACAGTCAAGTGATGAGAATTACAAAAATATTAATTAGGGGATTATTAATTGATCCAATGCCAAATTCTCCGAACTAGGGTCACAATAACTGTATGGCAGATAGTAAGGAGAATTACCAAGAAGATCTTAGAGATGAAAAGGTTACGAGCGCATTTCTATAGAGCGCCTCAACTCTTCCTAAGTTTCCTGAGTTTACTGCGATTGTATGCGGTGTACAAATTAAAAAAAAAATAGATAGAGTGTTATTTAACACTTCCCTCTGATTCCTCTAACACAGGTTTTAACTCCTTCTTTTCCCGCAGGTTCTAAACTGCTCTACCTGGTCTTCAGTAAAACAAGTTTGCCGCTTTTAGATACGCGTAGTGGTTACGTGACTATACACTCCTTTGTTATTCGCTACCGTGAATTTACAGTCAAAACGCAATCATGATACTATAACTTGATTATAAAGATGGCCACTAAATGTCGTAGTACCTAGTAAAAGTCGGTTCCATGCTAAGTCGTAACTCTCTCAGTCTCAGTCACGTTGTGCAAATATATTAGAATGTTAGCTTGGCTCTAAGAGTAAGCGTGATTTTTTTACCTCTTTTTTACGTTTTCATTCGGGCGAACGCAAGCGTTAGGCGAGTGCAAAGAGTGGATCACGTGTGGGAGGAAAATCGCGATTTTTTCGCGTTTATCCTCTCGCGCGTGACTTGCCATTCGTGGTCGCTCAGCGCGTGCTTCTGCTCGTCTGAAAATGCAAAACGTCAATAATAATGATAGTAACGATAGGTTCAAGATTTATGAAGATAAAAAATGATAATGATAACTTTGATTTAATAACTTAACAAGGTCAAAAGTACCTTTTTTCGATAAGACTGTTCGTAAGATTTTGATTTTGATGAAACTATAACCAAGAGAAAGTAAAGAGTATTTTTGGAGTCAACTTTTCAGTGAGTTAACAGTTAATGTGGATTGCTTAAAACGTACTGTAAGACGTTCTTCATTTTTTTTTATTAAAAAACCTTTCTACAGAATAAAACTTTGTAGACACTTATTATCGTAAGGTCCTGCGTCAGTTTCTCTGCAAATTAAATATGCGCCTTCTTTTTTTTCACTTTGGTTTTAGCCACCCCTCCCTCGTCCTCACCTTGCCCTTCCCCCTCCTTCGCCCCCACTACACCCCCCTTTCCTTCCCTCGCCCCCACCTCCCCCTCCTTCTTGTAGATCAGGAGCACATATGTATGACCTGAAATAAGTTTGCATAAGCTCTTATAAAATTCGGTTACTCGTCTCCCCCCTTTCCCGTAATTCCGCCAGTTGCAATTTCTAACTCGCAGGCTAAATCTTAAATCCCCACGGTGTAGGGTGTATATTGTATAGAACTGCTGCGGATATTGTGTAGCACTGCTCGCTCTCTCCAAGCAAGCCATATTAATTATGGTTTGTTGTCCTTTGGAAGTGCGCCTTTACGAATTCGAGTGGTCCTTTTCGTCTTAAAGTTGTTGAAAACCAGGGAAAATATGAATAATTTACCCACATGAAGCGGTCAACTTCCACTGCCGAACGCACTCTTTCTTTATTTTTACTCCGACTTTGATATGCGCTCCATTCTGAGGTTTTCGAATTCGCCCTGATTAAAAATAAACATGACGGAAATGAAACGACATGAATATTCAAAGTTGATAGTTTGCATATATTAGGCAGATCACATGAACTCACATTATGGCGGTCAACTTTTGTACCGTCTTGGCCTCTGTTTGCCTTCTGTGTGCTGTTATGGGTAAGTGACGAGAGGTTACGACACGAAAGTACAAAATTGGCAATGTTATGCAGCGATTGCAGTGTTCAAAGCTCTGTTAGATTACAGTGCGATCTAATTTCTGGAGCACTGACTCACGCTACAAATCTATCGGGCGAGTATCACAACAGTTCCATAAATGTTGTCATTCCAGCGAAAGATTAATCGTTTTACGAGGAATATTTCTAAAGAGTTGTTCGATTATTTTTCGTAATTTTCCGTTGACTTCATACGCATCGATGGCTTTGGAGTTTGTGCAATGTCATGTTGTGACGGCGTGTGTAAAATCTTCAGTTCAACAATAACAAATCCTATTTACTATTCAGAAAGATGATGGCGGAAACATTATAAGTTTTTAAGCCCTTGATATCAATATTTCCGCTTTGACATAGAATACAAATGTGAGCTAAGTAGTAAAGGGAAGGTTTTGAATTTATTTTTTACTCTGCGAGCTCTTTCAAATGAAAGGGTCGGGTTGAGCCATATGGCACTTCGCAAGGTTGAATTGGAATATTCTGCTAAAAAACTGGTAATTTTGAATGACGCTTTGCCGACATTCTGAACCTAATCGTGCGTTGCCCGAACAGATTATTTGAAAATATCTAGTTGAGTGTGCACGTTCAACTTCATGCCCAGAAAAGTGAATTGTTGTCCATAATTTCTGTTTGTTATCACTCTTGTTTGCGGCAGCAGCATCGAATTCTGTCACAATGTTGGGTGAGACACCATATTATGAAGACAGCGAAAATATTCCCCCTTCAGATGCTATCTATTATTTTCGAAAGTGAAACTTTCATGTGCTTAGTTAGCGAAAATAAGTCGCTCAAAATAGAATGTTGGTGATGCATTCGTGACACAATTTAAATACTTCATTATTCCTCTCATTATCCAACTGGCTACGTTGGTGGTAAACTTTAATCATGGCAGTTTAGTAAGATTTGCGACCGGACGCTGCTCCACCCGCTCCTTTCATACCTATGGATTTTTTAATACTTGACCAACATTAACATTTTTGCAACAACAGTGTTGCATCTTGCTATTAAAGTGTCTGACCGCGCAAGCGAAGGTGGGAGGGGGGGAGGGGGGGAGGGGGGGAGGGGCGGGTGGAGTGGTTTGGGTATCAAAAATTCTCGGATCCGCCCCTGAAATCATAGCTACTTGAAACTCCATTTCTTTTCTCCTAGTGGAAGGAAACGATGAAGACCGTGATTACAGAGACTTTTATGAGTATGATGACGACGATAATGGCATCAAAAAAGCTGAAAAATGCCCCGATATTAACTTACCCAGAGGTCTTGGCGGCCCTTGCAAAGTCAGTGATTTTTGCAGCAATATTACTTGCGAGGTGAAGGTGGGGGAGAAGAGTGCCACCTTAATTTTCAAAATAAACCAGTGTGATGATCCCATAACTGCCACAGTCACTGTCAAGATACAAGGTTATGCAGTTGATTGGTCGCATACATTTAAGGATGGTGAAAAGATCAAGCTTCCGGTTGGGAAGGAATCCGGTGTAATGGCACAAGGATCAGTTTCACTTTTGGTTGTGTTGAAAAGAGAAGGCAAAAAGTTGCATTTTAAGGTAACATGTTTATTGTATATAACTTTACTTCATTGCAGGGGGGGGAGGGGAGTAACCAGTGAAAAAAGGGTTAAGCGGTAGGGAAAAATCAATCACCAGAAGAAAAGGGCCTTGAGATGGGAAAACAAAAACAACTCTTGGCAGTGAACGGTTATTTTTAAATACGTACGTCACCACTGATTACCGAAAGTGTAAATATTTGCAGCAAGGATGGATAAGAGATTCAGACTTGCCAGTTTCCCAACCCCCCCCCAAAAAAAAAAAAAATTTTTATTATTATTATCACCATCATCTTAAAGAAATACCAGCGAGTTTACTGATTTAAAAGATTGATTTATTTCAGCTTCAGTTGTTGGGAAAAGTTGAAGTACCATTATATCACAAACTGGACGGGCCCATCGATAAAACTCTGATCGACGGAAAAATTTCGCTGTCAGATAAACATTGCGGTGAGTAAAGAATTATGTGTTTATTAGGGCTGCAAGTTTTCTCCTTCATTTAGAATCCCCTAAAAATCACTCAGCTGTGAATTTAGAAACACAACCTTCTTCACCATGACAGGAGCCCATTACTTCCTAACCATGATGAGGATATCTGTCACTTTCCCACTCCTCTAAAGCAATAAAAAATGACTGGTCTCTGAGAGATCATGATTTCTGGCCGCTTCCTTAATGCTTCGTAGAAGTTGTTGACACGTTTTGTGATTACGTCATCAGGTTTCAGCGCTTGGTTCAACAAACAGCCGCGTTACATAAAGATTTTGGTGATTGCGGGCCCTATCTTGGTCTTTATCCTTCTGCTCGTGCTCACAGTGTACTGTCGTATGAGATGTAAGCACCGTGCGCCCACACGCCTTCATGTGGAGATGCCGAGTCATCGTGCCCGGACCACCACGACCAGAAGTAAAGTTCCTATGCAACGGCTGATAAATCAGGAATAAATATGTGTGCATATACCCTGAAAACTCAGGGCGGGAAGCACGAGATGGAAAAATAAGTGAAAACTGAAGAAACCACTTCAAGTACAAAACAAATTAATGACCATAAAAGACAATTAAACTACGCGGAAATCTGCGAAAACTGCAGAAATTACCAAAAAGTAAATTTGATAAAGTATTGGAAACCGTACGATACGTTAATTATTCTTAATTTGATTGACATTTATAAATAATTTCGTTTACCTATGCATAAGCAAACAAACATGTATGCGGCACGTGTCTCATCGCTCCATATATGGCACTGTTCCACGTGCTTACAACGGGACGTTGAATGTTTTTTCTTTCGAATAAGCCGAGAGTTAACCCGAAGCGTTGTAGTAAAATCTTAAAATCAAGTGAATAAACCGTGAGTTAATAAGGAAGCGTGGTACAGCTCTTTCACGTTTTCAACAAAAGGAGTTAAATATATACTTTTCATAAGTGATCAATTTGAACTAAACTTATATCAAATTTTAGTGTTAAGTTGGCTTCTGTCGAGAAAACAAACATGATATATGATTCATTATATTATTATACAATGAAAGTTTAAGTCAGTGCAGATTTAGAACAATTTATCGAGTTGGTGGGCATTGTATGCTTTTCAAGCTTAAATAAGAAATGTATAACCGTAGAATTCTGCTTTGTTGTTAGCAGTATAAACAAACATTTCCATTATATCAGAGGAAACTGAATATCATGAGCTTGTTAATATAGTTATAGGGAATTCGAAAATAAAAGTCAGTTGTAAAGTATGAATCCAGTTTTAAATATACCATCAATATAACAATCTATGCAGTGAGTGCAGTCGGTGAGTAAGTCTGTCTGTCAGTGGGTCAGCATGCCAGTCAGTGACTCAGTCAGTTGGTCAGTCAGTGAGTCAATCTCCTGTCACTGTCGGTCACGAAGTCGTCAGTGAGTTAATGAGTCATTGAGTCATTGAGTCATTGAGTCAAGTTCCGTGCGTGGAGTTTGCAAGTGGAGTTTCCCACGAGGGAAACTTACGACATATATGTATCAAGCAAGACGTTTCGACAATCCCTCGCGCGCTTCTTCACCTCACGTCCTATAATTCCTTAGGTTGGCGAACTCCCCACTTCTTCATGTGTCTCATTTTCTAGAGGCGGTGACTTAATGTGTCAAAATGTACGATGTTAGACCACATTAGGATTGTGTTTCTCTTCGACGCAATTTTGCTAGCCTGCCTTACCTGTGAATGCGGAAACTGAGACTGATACAATCTTCAGTTCCAGTGTGCCCAGTCCTCTAGACGACGAACCACTTAGTATTGAGGTAACTTCTTCCTCCGAGACATTGCAAATTTGAAAATGAACTTAAAAATAAAAAATTTTAAAGACCAAACAGGTCATGACTCTGGTAATGTCATCTTCAAAAAAACCAAAAGTACTCTGATTAGTGCTACTTTTAAGAAGAGCGCAAACATTATGCTCCTTTTTCCAAATATGCCAAAAATGATGCCAGCATAAACATATGCAAGAGGATGAAATAGTTCCGGTCAATCAGGTAATGGCGTCACGTTCGTGTGCCGGCTCCCAACTCGTTCCCAGTCGCCTCGTAAGTATGTGCTTCTCTGAAAGGAAGAGAAGAGTAATATATCTTACTTTCTCCAGACCCATCACATCTCGCGCTCTTATCTAACCCGCACCAGTTGCTTCTGCTTAGAGGAGGACAGAGAATTGTCTTACATTGTTTTTGCTTTGAGAACAAAGTTCGCTGAGCTTAAATTAGTAAAGGGAAAAAATTCGTGGAAAACAGGATTCATTTACAAGGAAAAATGATTTAATTATATCCGGATTACTTCCACTTCAAATGGAAATTCGCCAGTATACGTGAGATAATTTGCATCCGGGATGCGCCACAGGCTTCCCAAGCTTACGTTTCGATAACACCTCACGCATTCTGTAAACAAACGAATGATCAATTTTGGCAGAGAGCTTTTACTTCCAAAACACAATTTAGAAATAACTCGTAGACACCTTCAAGAGTTTCATAATGAGTTACACCGCTGAAAATCACATTGCGTGCATTACTGTGAATAAGGAAAAAAGTTTGGTCACGTGTCCCGCCCACGAGAACGAACGTCATACTCAGTAGAACTAACAAGGTTTTGGACGCAGAGTTCAAATCCACGAGTATCTCTAGCATACTGCCGAGGTCAAATGGCTGAGTTACAGCTTCTGACAGCATTTCTCTTGGTAGTCGTTTCTACTGTGCAAGGTAAACTTCCATACGAGTAGACAGCCTTAAAGAAGTGTCCGTGAAATTTTTCATTTGCCTATTGAATTTTTAGAACTAAAGCTATCACACTCTGTGATTTCCATACATTTTACACGCGACTGCAGATCTGTTCAGCTGTGCGTCTGTTCCATGAATCGAGAAAAATTTTTGGAAGTAGTTTTTTCCTGAGAAGAACAAGTTTGGAAATTTACTAAGGAAAGAAGCAAGCGCTGTTACATGTTTTTGTGCACTGGAAAGCGCCTTACGAGCATGCGGAAAAACGTTTTAGGTTTTTTTAACATGCTAGTTGCGGGTTCCGAAAAAAAATTCGCGAAAAGGTGTTCAAAATTATGAAATACAATGCGATACACATGAGAAAACTGGTTCTAAAATTTCGTTGTAAATAATCGCTTTGAGTTAAAGGTAGAATTTAATAAATATTTAATGAATCAGTCTTGCTGTTTAAACAGAAACAATTGGTACGCACAGGTTAGAACGGATGTATGTTAAAGCACATGTTTTTTATTCGTACGATTTTATTCCACGAGATAGCTTTCTCTCTTAAAAACGTATGGGCTCACTGAAGGGAGATCACTTTGAAATTACGGTATCAAATATGTATATTCGGCTTACCTTTGATGACAGAATTATTTGGGACTGAATTTCGACTGAATCATTTGGGACTGAAAGTTTTGCATAATTCTTTTTTCCGTAAGAGCTCATTAAAGCAAGATCACTCGTTTAAAATATTGTAAAGTTTACAAGACAAAGAATAATTTGTGGAAACTAAAAATGTCTCTTAATAAAATTGAAAGAAAGAAAATTTGCAGGGCTATGAATTCTTCAACAAGTTATGGACATGACTAGTGTCAGACGATTATGCCGGTATAATTTTTAGGCATAATGCTATAGTTTAGAGCATCGAAAATAATGTGTTTACTCAATTAAATGCCACCCTCAAATTAATGCCGCCCTCAAATAAACGCTGCATTTAAGAGCAGAAATATTAATAAGCGCCGCCCTCAAATAAATGCCTCATTATGATGCAGCATTTACTCAAATATTAGATTAAAAAAGCACACAGCCATGGATGCTTCAATCGCAGTTGGAAACTTTGAGGGAGCCAGACACAAATCCTTTTGAACGTATCAGTTCTGCGGTCCAACATATGATCTTTATTTACTTTATGTATTGCAGTAGTATTAACGTGCAAATTGTGAAATTGAGAATGATCTAAAAAATGACTTTTTAGATGAGAAAACAGGTTTCTTTTTTTTAAACTCAGATGGTAAGTTGCTAGACTTTCGTTTGCAAGAAATAAATTAGATTTTAACTAAAGGCCACCCTCGTGTAAATGCTGCCCTTATATGAAAACAGCACGAAAATCATGAAGAATTTAATGAATGCCATGGCATTTAAACAAATAAATATGGTACTACTGGCATAATGTTTAAATTTCTGAGAAATTCTTTTTATGTTACCATGCAACATGAGGTAAATTCTGTAGCCTGATGACTGTCAATAGTGAGCTTGCTCTCTAGCTTACAATTCAGAAGTTGATCAAGTAAAATGCATATTCTTCATGCTGTTCTCTATATATTTCCAAAGAGGCTGACAAGGAGAATTTGTTCTAAAAATCAAGAGCAGCATTTGATCCAGTAAAATGTTGTCTTCTGAACTTTGAAAAGCTCTACCTGTTCACTGTTGGAATGGGGGGAGAGGTGGCAGTTTTTTTATTCATTAAATTAAGCATAAAGAAAAATTTTAAGAGCTTGATTTCCGGCATTGTGATGCCATATTTTCAGTGGTGATGCTTAAAAAGACAATGCTCAAAATTTTCAGAGTTATGATTATTAATCCTTTAACTCCCAGATCAAATTTGTAATTCTCCTCACTGTCAACCATACAATTCTTTTAATATTAGTTCAGAGAATTTAGTATTGGATCAACCAATTATCCCCAAACTGGTATTTTTCTTTATTCTCATCACTTGTCTGGTTGATATTGTATGGATATTGTAAAGAGAAATTATGTCTTGGTCACTCTTGGGAGTTAGAGAGTTAATCTGACTTGAGACATGACCTGTCTGAAATGTTGAAAAACTAATTGCAATAAAAAATAATAGCATATGTTTAACTTGTTTGAACTGATCCTTATTCAGGAGCAAATCATCAAGGGAATTGTCCAGAAATTCAGTTACCCAATAACAGTAATGGAACCTGTCTTCTAAATGACCAATGTAGCCAAGTAACATGTACGTCACCAAAAGATGATGAAAACCCGTTTGGACGCATGGTTTTGACTGTACGAGTGACCAAATGTCAGAATAAATTGAAGGCTGCTGTTTCTATCGACTCAAATGACCATGTGTGGGCACGTTTGCTTGGAGATGGTGATAAAGCAGAACTTCCTTCTCCACCTGGCATGTCTGGCCCAAAGCCTTACTTGAAGGTTAATCTTAAGGAAAATGGTGACAAAGTCCACTTCAAGGTATACATTCTATTGTAGCCATGTTAATTTAAAAAAAACTACTGCATTATGATGTTTCTACGCTATTAACAAATACATTGCTTGTTTTTATCATGTATATAATTTATATTCTTCTCATCATGAGTCATCCTCTGTGTTATTGTGTAGTGTCAGTTTTGATAATTGTGACATCCTTATTACTATGATGTGAAATATCACCGTCAAAAAGCAATCATCCTTTCAGATGAGCTGCAATTTAACCCTTTACCCCCTAACATTAGTATCTTTAATCTCCTTACTATTCACTATACATTTCCCAATGTGCTGACAAAGAGAATTTGTTCAATAATCAAGAGCTTCTTTAGTTGGTGATCATCTCGTCTATTCTCATGACCCTAATGTTTGATTCAAGGGTGATATTGTAAGGAGAAATTAGATGCTTTAAACACTCTTAGGAGTTAAAGGGTTAAGCAATTATTGCAGAAAAGAAGCCTGAAAAAAATTCAGGCTTTAATGGGATTAGAGCCCATGCCTTCCAGGAATTAGCTGGGTGCTACTAGCAACTGAGCTTAACAAAGCTATATGTTGGATGTGGGGCACATTTTAGGAGGGTTCCTTCTTTCCCATTATTAATGTGTCATATGATATCTAAACAATGATTTTTGCTAATTTAGTTACTGATGCTGATGGAGCCAGCAAATTTCAGTGTTACACTTCTTGAAGGAGAATTACGTGCTCTTGAGTGCACAGTTGGTGAAGGTAGGTGACTGATAAGAAAGCAGACAGACCTCTTTGTTACTTTTTTTAAAGGATTGTAGACCTGATTATAATGCA